GGGCTTCCCACTTGTAGAAAGGGCTTACGTTGTGTCAGAAGTCGAATCGGTGGTTGATCCCAACTTGACGCTTTCTTTGGACAGTTATGAGCATTATGCAGAATGAATAGCATGAAAAAGCGATTTTGATAGAGTCTCAATAAAAACTTCCTGTAAAGGTGGTCATATTTCTTTCTGTCCATTTTTCTTTAGTGTCTGCTCACTGGTTCTCTCTCACTTGGTCTTAAAAGGTTAGTCGTGGAGCTGAAGTGCTACACAATATCATGTTTTGGTTTTAATAACAAAAACTTTTCATGGTTTCGAGTTCCATGAAGCTTATAAAAATCTATTCTTTCATCAAATAAGTAAATAGGGCTTATTATTCCCATTTGTAATGAGCTGCAATATAGATACGCATGCCCAAAGGTGAAACTTTTATTGCATTATTTTTTGCACATCTTGTCAAGCGCTTCCTTTGAGGAAACTTTGGTGTCTGTTACTAAAAATACTCCTTAGCTGTATTAACCTTGAGGGAAATTATGTCATTCCTTAATGTTAAGTGGAACAATTTAAATACTTACAAAGGCTTGAGCTAAAGTTCAGTGAGGCAAGCAGGACTTCTGCTGCTGGCACCAGTGGGCTCTGGATCAGGCTCTGAAGTTTCAAAGAGCTGCTCTTGCACAAACAGCACTTTCTGTATTCAGCCGGCTTCTAGAACACAGCAGCTTTGTGTTCTGCTTCTGTGTTTTTCCCCTTCTTTGTAATTATGTCGCTTCATTCACTGAATATATAACCAGCTTAACACCCTCTGCTTTTATTCTCTTTCATACGGTTTCCTTTTGATTCGAGCCTGTGCTGCCAAGGAGAGAGGAGCAGAAAGAAGCTGCTCATGTGAGGAGAGCAGAAGAGCTTTCTCTCCAGTCTGGTGAACGGTAAAGGTTATAACAATACTACAAATTCCAGCGAGGCTTAAGGGAACCCTGGCAAGTCCAGGGCTACAGATGTTTCATTTGTTCAGTTGCTTTTCCTGTTTTACATTCCAAGCAAATTAATCCTTTCTCTTTAACCAGGAAAAAAGTATCTGAATAATTCCCTTTACTAGACTAGGTGGGTTTTTTCTAGGCTTTCTTCTAAGCCCTTTATTGAATAGTCTCTTCACATGAAAAGCATCATCCATTTTTGCCTTATTTTAAGACTTATTTGTCTGAGGTTAAATATGTTTGATGATAAGGCATTATGTATTTAAATAAGATTCAGCAACTTTATGTTAGCTCAGGCTCTTTTTACTTGAACCTTTAAGGCCTTTA